TAGCGTCGACGACCAAACCGAACCGAAAGAAAACGAATCGAACCAAACCGAGCTTGCAAATGGCCACTGGGTGTACACTTCTGGGGCGCGTACCGTTGGGACATCTGCTGTCCAGTTAACGTAATCACTTCGTGAGCAGTGGGCGGAACACAGACCCCCCCCCCTCCCCGTGTCAAGAGTCTCCTGATTAGACTTCTTTTGACGTATGAGGACAACGTCGTTATGAAAGCCTGACTTGATTCCAATCGAGCTCGTCCTTTTAGCTCTGTAGGTATCCTGCTGACTGCTTAACGAGCATGGTTGACGGTGGTTCTAATTCCCGAAATTGGAGGATTCCTGTGCCCACCTAGTAATTGTATGCGTGTGTGGGAGGGGGGGGGGTGCTCACGTTTATTTAAAACTGAGGGTACAAACTGCAGAAAAAAAATAAGCCTCAAAACAACTAGCGACAAAGAAGCTCCCCAAAAGAACTCCCAATCCCACCCTAGAAAAATAAAACAGATGCAATTAGTCGGTGACGTCACAAAGTATTAAGCTTTATAACGGGTTTTAATAGATGGGAAGGTTATGCCCTTTGCTTGTCGCCGTCGGGTCGTTTATATCTGAGATGCCAAACGTTACGTCGCACAAACGTTGTAAAAGAGCACGTCACAGATAGATTCTAAGAGTGTCTCGGACCCAAGTACATGACGGAGAATGATTAAACAGTTCCATCTTGTCGGATGTTTCGCTATTCTGTTCTCCGTGTCTCCCGCCTGCAACCTGCACGCGCCTTCTTTGTCTGCTTTTTTCCCGCTGTCATTGATTCCCCACTAGTCCCGGAAGTGACGTGCCAGGAACACGTCAAAATGAGGTGGACTTATGGGGCGGTAGTGTAGCAGGAAAAATCAGTTTGTTTGTTTTTTCTCTTTTTTAAGTTAAAGTGCCAACATGTATATATGTATGTCCTATCTTCGAGTCACAGCTAAAAAGTCGGTCGGTAAACGACCTTGAAAGCATTTATGTAAATTATAATAATAGCAGACAAGTGCTGTGTACATACGACTGTATTTGTGTTGTTCTTGTCGATATGTTTGTACTTATAGTGGGTATTGTCCCATTACAACAGATTGTCAACACGGTTTATTCAGCATCTGTATATATTTTATATATTTGTTAGGCTGAAAAGCATAGATAGATTCGTTATAATTCTCCACTGTCTTTATTCAGTATTCAGCCGTAATATGGCCTAACGCCTAGGTTTGTTTGTTGTTGTTGTTTTTTTTTTTTTTGGGGGGGGGGGTTCCTTTTGGAGCCAAATGTTTTATTTGCGAAATCGAAAGCCTGATCTGTTACACTTCTTGTGTGAAATAATGAAAGTGAAACTGGGGCTAGTTTTTTTTATAAATTAGAATTTAAATTTCGGAAGAATGCTATTTTTAAATGTTACGCAGACAACAAAAAATACTTTTTGTTTCTCGAAACTGCGGTGGAAAAGAAAGACGTTTCGTCAGCTTAAGCCAGTATTGGTGTAGATTTAAACACCTACGTCACAACAGCTGACAGAGTTTGAGCCTTTTTGACCAGTATTATAATATGTTCTGTGAGGATGGTAGACACTGTTGAAAGCGTTTTGTTCATTTTGTTTTGGTCTTTCGTCTTAGTTATATGTCTTATTGAAGATGGTTGGAATTACCACGTCATAAAAATGGTTGTATTGCAACTTTGTATTTTTCATCAACATTTTGCATCAAGTAGCAATAGCAGGCACCGTTGTGCCGCAACAGACTTTAGTGTGTTATATTGACCTGCCGAATTGATTGTGTGTGGTGTTAAATTGTAAAGATTTTAAACCCTTGCAAGCCATGTATGTTTGTTTTAGAGTCAGGACGTCCGAACTAAACGTCCATGTAAAATACATACTGTCCCACATACATGCATTTCCAAACAAGACAGTAAGTAATACTTGTCAGTACCTGGGTAGGTGAGTCCCACGTCCCACCAACATTACCCAATCGTCCAGGTTCGCAAGTGCTGGTCTGGACCAAGCAAGAGTACCTGAAAAATCTCTATAACCTTTCTTAACCCACTCCTGGTGGGTATCTGAGACCTCTCGACAGCTACCCTGAGCACCACCTCCTCCTTTAGACTCAAATTTTATTTCTCTCTCTCTCCTCCATCGCCCTCCTTCTTGTTCTCTCATTCACCACTTTCTCTCTCTCTCTCTCTCTGTCTCTCTCTC